GCGGCAGATGGCACCGGAGACGCTTGCCTACCTCATCCGCTTAGTCACTTCCAACTACTATGGCCGATCGGGAGACCGTATACTTGAGTCGGCCAAGGCGATGCTAAGCAGGAACGGCTGGGAAATGCCTCTCAAATACTGGGACGATATGCCCGGCGACATAGTCCGTGAGCTCGTAGGGTCTGACGGGTTCTTCGTGGATAGCGAGTGGGACCGCTGGGTACTTTCCAAGCGTCTTCTCGACCGCCGGCTACGTCAAGCAGCCATCGAGGCTGGCCTTATTCAGCGAGGACAAAGACCCATTCCACAAGCACCCAACTCTCTTCGTCTCATGGCAGTTCGCTTCGACGGTGTTTATCGACAGAACGCCCTGACAACGGCGCATTCCTCATCCGACGCGCAGGCTGACTGGCTTGCTCTCTACACTCTGCCCGATATTGAGCGCATACTCGTGTTGCTAGACGAAGGCATTCACTACATTCACATGGAATACGAACAGCTTGAGTTTATCAGGAACGCTCGCGACGTATTTGGCCTACCAGTGATGCCCGAAAGGGTCATCTCCAATGCGCTATGGCAGCAACTGGCCCTTCGCCAGAGGGTGCTCAACACCGATGAGTCTGCTCAGGAGCTGGGTCTATGTCAATCAACTCCAGACCCCGAAGAAGCGAACGTGGCGACGAAGACTGGAAGCGAGCTCACTAACAAAGGAAAGCAAAAAGAGATGGCGGATCCTATCGACGAAGGCGACATCGAGTCGGATAGTTGGGACGGCAATGGCAAGCCACGGAAGTTTTGGATCCCAAGCTCAGACTGCAACATCGTCTTGGGCAACGGCGCAGATCCTGTTGTTACGACATCCAACTCTTTTCAACGCCATGCTTCACGCCTATCAGCCACAATACAGCCAGAGGATGCGCAATGGGCCACCGACTTTGCCTCCACTCCGTCGACATTGACGAACCCAAATACTCGCATGGACTTTGCCCAACGCCCAATCTCTGCTGGTGGCGGCAACGCTGGTCAGCCAAAACCAATCGCTTATACCGAGTTTCCTCCATTCCGCTTCTCGGCTGAGTTTCCTAATCCACGATTCCTCAAAGAGAAGAAGCGCGTCTATTCGAGGACAGTATCGTACGCAGGCTCTTTGTGGAACATCTACATCCAGAAAGTTCGCTCTGCCAAAAATATCCAGTTGGGCGTTTACCTCCACCGTGCCAAGGAGCGAGAGGTAGATGAGACTGGACATGTCAGTGGTCTCAGCCAACAGAACAATGGCTCGGTTGATGAACGTATCGGCCAGCTAGAGCGCGAGATGCTCATGCGTAGTGACCGACGCGACCGGCGGCGCAGCACCCGAGTTCCGTTCATGGATCCTGCTGCAGAAGAGGATACCTCTGGCAGTGGTGGAGATCCCGACCCTGCTCTCGGCTCTCTAGGACTGCGCAACCCACTCTTCTCTAGCGGTAGTCTTGGCCGCCATCGCAGTCGTCTACCCACTCGCGGTATTCCACAATGGGGCTTCCAAAACCTGGCCTCTTCACCACCTCAAGATGGTGATACCATAGACTCTCCCTCTTTCGCTAACGCTCCCTACTCCCCATCCGAACATGACTCAGATCCATCCGATGACGACGACGAGTCAGACGCCGCCGCCTACATCAACCCCTCTCTCGCCTCTAGAGTCCAACGCAAAACGCGAGCCGTCATACCCGCACTCCCTCCCTATGTCGACGGCCGACCCACAATCAAAACCTATTTCAAGATCTACAGCCCCTCCAAGGGTGGAAGGATGCTCAGCATCTACGAAAGCGCGCCTGACCGCTTTAACTTCAGTCAGAGCTGGGGATGGAAGAGCAGCACTTTGATGCTGGATGAAATCACGATCAATAACGGCGGAGATGATACCCTGGCTGGTGCCAACCCAGCTGCAAGTAAGAAGACGGATGGCAAATTGAGATTCATGGTTGTTATCGGCAATTTGTGAACGGCGTATATGGGTGGAATAGTATGGGATGGACTGGGATGGGTTCTGGGATTTGGGTGTATGCATCAGCGATGGGTGTTTTGACACAGGCAATAAGGACAAGGCGTCTCCGGTCTACGGTGGGGATGGTTTAGATACCGATTTCTACCTACACATATTCATAGTTTTCGCATCAACTCGCGCACAAGACTGAGGTAGTGGCCCCTGTGATGGCATGCGCTAGCAGCGGACCGAGGCTCAGAACGATCGCGTCTGTGACGCGTCGACGCGACTGCTCGGTCTATCGAGACTATGTACCATCACGTCAGACACGATACCTACATCTACTGGTGCTCTTTCCCGCAAATTCCGACCTGTCTACTGAAATACTAGATTTCGCGATCGTACCCAGTACTTCCGGTCTCCCAGCGCCGGCGCGCATCGACGCGGGTGGCATGCACTGGATAGACACTTACCGCGAACAATTACAGCAGTCCGGGGCATATCCTCACGAAACTTAGGCCTTGAGAGGTCAATTGGGCCATACTTCATTGACTACAACTTGGTGCACTAGAGCTACTTGCTATTGAGTACATGATGCCGTCAAATGAGCTGTTGTGCAGAAGCAGCAATCACGTTCGCTTCACTCCCCCCACCAACTTCCATCTTTATCCTCACTCAAGCTTACAACACAGAAGGCTGTCTTCCGCTGAAAATCCGAGTCCCCGGCAAATGAACACGGAAAATGAACTCTAACGCGTCGTCAATACGAGCAAGGGTTTCCTGCACACGATCGTTGAACTCAGGAGACCTGTCGACGTCCCATCGCTCCTCCTCCAAACCCGCACCTAGATTGTGCAGACAAACCGGACCCAGATTCTGAAGCTGTTTGCGAGGGATCGGGTGAACGGCGTGCACGACTCGCTCGGTGATCTCGCTCTTCTCGGGGAACTGGGCCTTTGCGCGAGGATCGACTATGATGGTCGTCTTAGTGTAGAAGGGAGACTCGACGACGAGATCGCGGGTGGTATATGCGCTCCAGAAGGTGACGACCTCCTCAAAGTCTTTGGGGGTAAACTGCCGCAGTTGCATGGGGCGAGTGGGCGCGATCATGCCAGGCGCGGTGCCCGAAGCAACTCCACTAGATGCACCACGCGCGGAAGGGCGAGTTGGAAGTTCGACCAGGGGCCGTGCAGTCGAGGGCTGCGCGAGGGTCTCGGGGCCGGGAGTCGGCATGGGTGTGGTGGGCGGGTTGCTCATATTGTAAGATGTTGTAATAATGGTGTTTGAACTTATGCCTGATGTTAGTGCTTTGATGCGCTTGGCAGTATGGTAATGAGTCTTGGTGCAAAGAGGTGTTGAGGGTGCTGGTTGTGTTGAGTAAGATGTTGCCTTCCTACTGACTTTATAGATCTTCTGCTACTAATTCGCCGTTGGCGACAGCTCACGATGCAATACAAGTGTTCGCGTGAGTTTGTTGACCGCCACTGCTTTGCTGGCTTTGCACGTTTCTTTCCTGGTCTGGATCAAGTCAGCAAACGCTACCTGGACGGAATTCCGGTCACCATATTTGCTGGCTTTGACAACACGAGCTTGGTACCGATCACTTCAAGAAACCAACCCAAAATTTACCTCGCTCCTTGCCAACGCTACTTGCCATACTACTGCTCTACGATGGAAGTAGGGTCAGTCGATCTGCACAACTTTCCATAACAGGACTTCACTTCCTAGCAATGCGTAAGCCGAGAGGATGGCCTTCCAAGTTCGTCGCTGCATATAGTTCGTCTAACGAACGGCATCAAGAAAAGGGGAACGTGTCATTGGGCGGTCAACGCTCACAGCAAACCATGTCACGGAATCTTCGACTAGGAACATATGGTACGTGACAACGCTGATCCAAAGCCGACTTATTCAGGACACTCAAACCTGCCCAACGTAGCCCATACAATCACATGAATACATCATCCTCCTCATGCATGATCTGTCCAATAACCTCCATCGTCCCACACATTCGTCTAGCAAGCTCACCATCAGGCTGGATCCTCTTCTCGGTCCAGTAGCCGAACAAGAACTCCAACTGATCATGCGCCAGGCTTCGTAGGTATCGCGTCGGTATAGGATGAACAGCATGGAGGGTCACATACTGTTCCGGCTGTTCTTGATCAGCATGTATATCGCGACTCTCAAAGCTGGCTGTGCTTTGTCTTACCGTAGCAGGGTCACAGCTTGGTGAAGGGGCTGGAAACAGAGGTGATACGAACATGGTGCCGGAGGATATGGGTAGTCGGATGCAAGTGTAGTATGGTGAGGCGCGCATTTGAGCTAGTGTCTGGTATTGACCCCAAGACGCAATGATGACCCTCTCGTGATCAAAATCTTGCAGTGGCTCTGCTTGATACTCATTCCGTGGAGCCCCGACATTTGCGCCCAGTGCCGCGGAAGGTAATGCAGGGCTCTCGGGATCTGCTCGAATACTTGTTGTTGGTGGGCTGTTTATGTCGATATGGTACATTCTGATATATGGAAATTAGGCGAGAGTAAGAGAAAAGGGGATAGAAATTCTGTGCAGCAAGGGGCAGTTATATTGCCAAAAGCATGGGTCGTCTATCTATATTCTGAGCTTGGAATGATGAAGCTTCCTTCCATTTCGCTGGCTACAAACTATAGTGCTGTCAACACGAACACCATCAAAACCTTTATACAAGTTACCGCTTGATAGAAATAGCCTGGCTTCGTTGGCTGTCATGGTCATTCGCGTAAGAATTCTCATATTTGCTGTGGTGTTGGCCACAGCAACGGGGTTCGTCTAAATTGTCAAGCAAACCTTTTGTCACTACTGATGATGTGCATGCGTATTTACAAAGCGAGGTTACAGATGCAATGATTCATATACTAACGGAATATGACTATGGCTGTCTCAGGGAAGATGGAATACTTGTAGAAGTGTACCCTGAGATTTACCTCCCACCGCCAGCACCACTGATACCATCTACACTCGCGTCGATTAGTCTTTGTCTCATTCATCTCGGAAGGTTCACTTACTCTTCCTCCTCCAAGCCTGCTGCTCATGGGGAAATATAGCACCAGCCTCATCATAAGCCCTCTTGTTCATTTCATCCAAGAGAATGGCCGCTGCCCACTTGATCTCGACCATACGTTTCTCAGCGTGTTTTCTTTTAGATTCTGACATCGCAGTCTCGAGTGTCTTCTGATGTATCTTGTTCAACACTGTTTGTGTAGTTTCAATGTCTTTAACTGGTGTGCGTCCTCTGTCGGGCAGCCCGATAAGTTCGTACGGATCTTTCCGCTTTTCTTCGTCGCTGTCGTCATCGTCATCGTCGTCGTCAGAAACGAGTTGATTTTGTGGAATCGGAGAGGACCTTCGTGGTCTTTCGCGTTCCGGCAGCATGCGCTGCTGGTTGTATGATTGACCATTCAACTCTTGAGTTCGGTTCCTGGAGGCATCGAGCTGTCGCTGTCTCTCCTGATCTCGCCTCTCCTCCTCTTGTCTCTCCCGATCCCTTTTCGCGGCTATTTCCTGACGTGTTTTCTCAAACCTTCGTGCAGCATCAATCTTTTCCTGCTCTGTCCTCTCCGTTATCTCACGCGTCTTACGATCCAGCTCGTCTTGTCTGCTCTTCGCTTCGTCAATGCGCAGTATTGTGTCCTCTTTCAAATTGTTTTCAATCTTGGTCCTTTCGAATCTTTCTTCGGCCTCCTTGAGCTTACGCGCCTTCTCCTCCGCTGCCTCAATCGTCTTCTTCGCTTCAGCTTCCAACCTGGCTCGCTCTTTCACTGCTAGTTCATCCTCGTACCTGTTCTTCAACTTCTCGTTGCGATCGTTTTCTTTGTTGAGTCGGTCGAGATGAAGCTCGTTTTTGTCTTGTTCGGAGGGCCCTTGGATTTGAGCGGGCGCTGGGGCTACATGCGAGTGCACTACAACGTTCTGGGTGGGAGCTGAAGCTACATGTGAGTGCACTACGACGTTCTGGGTGGGAGCCTGGCCAATCATCGCTGGTGCTGGTATCTGCTGATTGATGAAGAAGTTCGGTTGAGGCAAGTTGAAAGAGTGATTTTGCTGCAGCTGCTGGAGGAAGGACTGCTGGTGCTGTCCAAGCTGAAGGAAAGCCCATCCGCCATGACTCCTGAACACCAGATCCACAATGTTCTGAGCGGTTTCCACCAAATCGTCAGCAAAGAACGAGAAGCCGAGGATGCTGTTGCTTCGTAAGGTTTCTATCTCTTCTAGTATGATATGAAAAGCCATGATCAGTTCATCGTCAGGGTAAGTTGCCAACCTAAAAATTGACATCGGGTGCGGACGATCGAGCACTTTACGGCGAAATCGGCCTGTAATATGGAAAGTGATCATGTCGTAAGATAAAAAAGGTAAATCGGGATATCAAAATGATGCGAGGAGGAAGATGATAGATCGCAATACAGGAAGTACGAGTGTGAGGGCATGCGCATAGAAAAGGACGGTTTTGTACTGCGGGCGTGCTTTTGGTGTGATGCCTAATCATGGAATCCCCAGGGCGGCTTCCAATACCCACGTTGTGTCGATGATTATGCATGTCAAGCGTCGGCCTGTGAAGATACGATCATCCTCATACGTGTTTGCCGCAAACATCGCGGGCATTCCAGGTTGTGACGCGCCAGGCTCCGTGAGCTGCGCTCAATCTTCAAACTAGATATGGTGAAGCAACACCAGGTCGAAACATTCACAGATGCTGATGTAAAGAGCAGGGTAGGATCATTGGGGTTGTAGGAATTTGCAGCTTCTCCACCTAGGCACAACAGCCCTAGAGGAGAACGTGGGAGGATTAAATGCCGATGATGTCATTATTACCAAGCATCCCGACCTTGGAAGGTCCGCTCACACTTCACCACGATCGTCCATAATTATATCTAGGTAGCTATCAGCACGTTTGGGCACGAATTCAATGCCAGATGTACCTAAAATGTGGGCTTGTATCGTTCGAAGTTCTCGCGATGCCAACCCATGTAGGTGCTGATCGCTCGACAGCGCCATGGCATGTTGTGTCACAGCCGCCTGAGCCTGCACAGGTGCCTGACAGTTAAAAGGGCAAATACGAACACGCCATAGCTAAGATCAATTTCGTGTTTAATTCATCAAGCTACAGTTTCTCAACATCTCCATATGCGCAACAAATTCCGACTTCGGCATGCTCATCCTGCCCTCCTCCTAAACTAGGCGCTTTCCTCGTCCAATCACCCCAACCTGACGCCTCCTACTTGGCTCCATGCTCCGCCTTCCAAGCCGCATATTCTCTGTCGTCCTTCTCCTTCTCTGTCTCGGGGCGTAGTCCAAGGTAATTGCCGTATGGGCCAAATTCTTGAATCATATGTTTGTCTGGCAGCGCCGTCGGGGGCGGTAGAGGAGCTGGGGCTGGAGGAGGTACAAAGGTGATGTTTTGCTGTGGCGCTGGAATGGACTGGAAGGTGATGTTTTGCTGTGGAGCTGGAATGGTCTGGATGGTAACATTTGGCATTGGCGCTGTCTGTGTGATTGAGAGAGATGACGACATGCGTGGGAATGTGCCAAAGCTTCCAAAGCTTGAGCCCGGGAATATACCCACGGCATTGCTACCCCTTCGTTCAATGATACGCAAAATTCTGTTCTTAGTCTCCTCCCAGCAAGGCCTTAACAGGTCTGCAAAGATGTTGTCAGACATTGAGACGGAGATTGCATTGAGAAGACCGACGAGCTCATCATCCGAGAGAGGGTTCAAGTGACGGTACGCCCAAGGATGGATGTGCAAAAAGGGGTCAGGTCCGCGCGATGATCGGAACATATCGAGTGTGTATAAGTGGTGTTGTGAGAGGTTTTACTGTGTGTTGCGAAGAGTACAAGTTGGCTTTGCTTGGAGTTGGTGGAGATGCGCTTTGTAATTAATTAGAAAGCGTAGTGTTTGATAGAGAGAGTGTGTGTTCTAAGGAGGGGGTTTATATTCTAAACAGACATTGAATCTAGGGCTTTTGCACAACTCTCGATTGCCAGCATGCTGTATGAACGTGATCCTCAGAACGTGTCGCTATGCAAAATCACGATCAAGACTTGACGTAGAGAGTGCGATCATTGTGAAGAAAACATTCCCTGTGCCGGCGTGTCATGATCTGTATGATGAACGAAATTGTCGAATTATCAAATCATATTTGTACTCACCTTACTGAGTTTATCTAGTTTCGCGACAACCTCGACGCATGTGCTATCTACCAAACGCTGATATATCCGTGGACCAGTACACGAGGGACAACATTCTCATTTTACGATTAGCATCAACCATCGGCACTGGCGCCAACAAAATAAGCGTAGAATTTAAAATATGCATTGTTCAAGCTCGTCAAATATGGAATGCCTTCAGTACACTGTCATCATCGTCATCACCATCCCCCAGCCTTCACTCAAGATCATCCACCGTACCAACTAGTCTTAAAAACCATCACTGTCACTATCGTTACCGTAATAACCCCGCCAATCAAAGCTGCTACGGCGTCGCGTGTACCCGATGCGTGGGGTCAAAATTCCCCCAATCACAAAGTTCTGCACCGGCGTAGAGGTCATAGTCAGTGTGGCCACAGGCGCAGGAATGCTGAGCACCTGAGGCGGTTGTAGTTGCTGGTAAACTACTTGCTGCTGCGGCTGCGGCTGCGGCTGTACTTGCTGGTGGTAGATGACATTCTGCTGTGCGGGCTGTTGCACGGGCGGCTGTTGTACTTGCTGATGAACAATGACATTTTGCTGAGGCGGCTGCTGAGCTTGTATCTGTGTTTGAACTGGCGCTGGCGCTGACATCTGGATGTTGAGACTTCCAGCCCCTCCGCCTTCTCCGAGCATCACCGCGCCGTGCGCCCTAAGATGCTCTTCAATGATGCTAGCCGTACCCCGTAATGCTGCGTTATCCTCATAGAAGGGATCCCTCTGTATGTCGCGATATATGTTGTTGTGTACCTCAAGAAGCCACTCCAAGCGCTGCTTCTCGATAAATGCCTTTGGCCAAGGGTGGTCGGGCATACACCAACCGGATCCTCCACGTGCATCCCAGGAAGACATGGTAGGTAATTAGAGCGTACGTATTATCGATTTTAGGTGGAAGTAAAGTGAGCTTCTTTGTCTGGTCGATCTGTCGCTCACAAGATGATGTTGAGGTTGGTGGAACAGTGAGAATAGGAGGGGGGAACAGAGTTTTATGTACTTCGTATTTTAGACAATTTACCACCGTCACTGAAAGTCTTAAGTGCGATATTGATTCCAAGCTCGCCTGCTGTGACAGGATACTTCGTTCGCTGGCTGCCGGTATAATCTGGGAAACGTCATAAGGTGTACATGCCAATGATACACAGTTCACAAGCTACCAGCGATCATGTTGTCGACCGCAGTAACCAGCAATCAAGCTTTTTCAGTAGACAACTAGAGGAAACGTTGTGCGTTGAACAACGCGCATGTTGCCCGTGTTCCTGTCACGTCAGCGAACCTTCACAGTTTCGCGAATAACATACCTACTCAACCCAATCCCCGCTCTCCCTCGTCCACGCCCCTCGACCACTGTTTCATACCTGATCCAAACATCAGGCTCCATACCATAGACCTACCTCCATAACATAACAGCATAGCACAACAGCACGACATAGCATCATACCACTACCAACCAAGCGCAATGTCAACCTCCCTAACCCTCAACGCCTTCACGCACCCCCATCCCTGGGCACCCACCACCATCCGGCTCTCGCCCACTCCATCTCTCATCTCCGCTCAAGCCTCCATAACACACCAACTCTACATCCTAGACTGCCGCGGCCACGATGCACGCGATATGCAGCGAACGCTAAACTATATCACAGCCGAACTGCGTATGCGAGAGATCGAGGACTTAGCTCTAGCAGAAGCCAGTCGCAAGATCGCAAGTGCGGAAGGCGCAGACGGCAACACTGAACCCTGGATCAAGAAAAAGGATGGAGGTGCGCGGATGCGGGAGATGGAAGATGAAGATAAGCGCTGGGAGAAGGAAAGTGGTGGAAACCCGCGGTGGGGTGAGGGCAGGACTGCGCATCTGTACGGCAAGTAGGCGTTCACTGTCAAGGGACCGAGCACTGATATAATGATGGACTGGAAATGTATCGAGATCCTGCAATGCGCTATCAAGTAGTAATGTATATGATACATGTTGCGATCCAGTATTGCTTGGGTATCATACCTGTACGCCTGCAAATGCCCAAACTTTCGAGACGCTGTGTCTAATCAATCTTCCGCGTCTCCTCCGCCGCGTTCCATGCGCGCTCTAATGTCTCTCACTAGTGCTTTCGCATCTTCTACCTCTACACCGTCTTGACAGAGCTCGTTCGCTAGTTCCATTGCTCGTTGATACATGCCGCGCATATACTCCCATCGAGCGAGCCAGAGTCGGGCTTTGCTTGTCGTTGCAGTAACACCGACACCACCGGCGGCTTCGGAACCCACTTCTTCGTAGTCTGGCCCTTCTTCTTGTGCAAGCACTAGCTCCATGTATGCCGCGCATTCGTTCATGTTGTTTATCCGCTCATACAGCAGGGCAATCTGGTAGAGTACCTCGGGGTCGAGGATACCTCCACCAAGACCAGTAACCTCACTACTGCCGAAAGAGGCACCCACCCCGGCATCATAGTATGAGCCTGCGACTAGTGCGCGTTTGTATGATCGAATGCCATTCATGATCTTGCCCACTTTGCCGAAACATTGGCCGACCGCCATCCATAGCTTCGGATCGTAGGGTCGCAGGGCAGCAGCGCGTTGGTGATAGAAGAGAGCGTACGAGTGCATCTCCAGCATTTCGTATGTCTGACCGAGTCCATACCAGGCGCGGTAGTCTTTGCGATTGACGTCAACGGCGCGACGATATGATTCAATAGCGGCGTGGGTGTTCTTCATCTCCACGAACTCGTGGCCCATGAGCGTCCAAGCGGAAAGGAAGGTTCGATCTAATGTCAGAGCTCGCCGGAAGTACATGACAGCTTTCTCATGCTCCGACTTGAGCGAGTAGTAGTTGCCCACCACGCAACATGTCTCCGGTCGGAATTTGTCCGTCGCTGTAGCGAGCTGTGCCAAGAAGGCAAGCTTGGGTCGCATGCCCATGACATACAAGATGTTGGAGTAATTGTCGAGATGATCGACCCGATGTGGATCTGATACGAGCAAGTCGGAAAAGATCTGTTCGGCGTCGTCGAAGTCTTTGTTGTGGTAGTGGAGCAATGCCCGTTGGGTCTTCAGAAAGGCCGAGGATGGGAAAATGGTCAGTATTTGCGACAGCGAAGTGTGGATCTGTTCGTTAACTACGTAGAGCTCCTGCGATGAAGTGACATGGAAGATGAAAGTCATGAGGTTCTGCGGTAGGCGTGTGACGATGCCGTTGAGCTCTTCCATAGTGGTTAGGAGTGCTTGCAGCTCCTGCCACGCACCCCAGTTGTATGTGTATTGGTGAACACTCTTGATCAGATAGTCGATGGCAAGCTGCTCGTTCTTTCCCTTGGCCAGAACCATGCCGTATAGGTACTCCAGCCAGCCCTGCGGTTGCCGCCCGCTGTTGGGCAGGTCTTTGAACCACTCTTCAAGAACGGCAGAGACTGTGGGCAGCTCCTTGTTCAAGGTGACGCCTCCATCTTGAGGGCCGAGAATCATCTCGCTATCCTCGTTCATGCGCTTCTCCCCAGCTATGTATTTGGCATAGAGGGCAAGGAACAGCGCCTTCTGACTAATGCCCTTCATTGTATCGTTGGAGAGCTTGGACTTGGACGGCGTGACCATCTTCGCCTTTCCTTTGGCTCCCTGCTTCGCCTTTGCTGTAGGCGTAGCAGGTGCCTGTGAGGCGCCCTTGGGCAGAGGGCCAGGCAGGAAGACGGCGGCGCATCGATCATACTCGCGGCAGTCGAAGTATGTCTTGGCGAGGAGAAACTTGTGCGTCTCACGTGCTTCTAGACGTGCTTCGATGGGGTCTTTGCGTACGAGATTGGGTGTCTGCGGCGGTTGCGCATCCGACATGGGGGAGTCGACGTCGGTGTCCGAGCCTTCGTCATCGGCCGATGGGAGCGAATCGAGTAATTCTGCGGCCCTTGTCAATATCAGCATGCAAAAGTCAGTCTACGCAGCCAATTGCACTCACCATTTCGCCGAGTGATAGAGACAGCGCTCTGTGCAGCCGATGACGGCGTCCTGGAGCTGGGCCTTGAGTTGGGCCTCGTCGGCCGGCGATAGAGTTCCCATCGCGTCGCTATCAGGAAGAGATTACTATTTGCGCGCTTCAGATCATGGTTCAGGGCTCTATCGCGTGATGTTGCTGCCGCCGATGCGCGTGTTGATGGGGAGCTTCCTGTCGTGGTAGGGTGGGGCACAAACAATGGCCCGGCGAGCGGTTAAAGGTTGCGCCGCTGCGCCGCGGAAATTAGCCCCTTCACCGCCCGCACCCCTACATCTGCTACTGCCCCTCTATCTTGAACACTGCTGTCCAGAGATACCCAAATCACTGCGTTCAAGATGCCCACCACACTCAAAGAATTCGAGAGCGTATGGCCGCGCATTGTGGCCGACCTGCAGGAGCATTGCAAATCATACAA